TTCTACCTCTGGTCTGTACACACATAAGTAAAGAAAAAATATATATATAACACCAGATACTCTACAGTATTTCCCTTTGCTGTAGAGGGACCTATCTCTGTGGTAAATGACACAACAAGAGGCGTGTGACTACTAGGGCCCTTCCCCCATCACTACACATTACCATTGCCTCTCAGTGCTGTCTAGAAAGGTCATGTGACCCTCATCAGCTTCCCCAGTTGGGGGAGGGGAGGAGGATTGAACCTGTTCTTTGTTAGGGAGGTCAGTCCCTGCTGTATGGCAGGAAGCTACTCTACCACACTACTTGTAACAGAAGCACATGCAGACAAGAAAATTTGGTGCTTTAAATAAAATGCTGTCATTTTTTTTTTTTATTTTAGGGCTGCAGATTGTTAGTGCTTTGCAGACGCACTGCCTCCAGCTGTACAAGTAATCTTTTCAGTAGGGTGTGACGAGGCTGGTATGAAGGGTTGGTATGTGGCAAGCGTGAAAGTGTAGACTTTTTAATGTCGCAGAGAATGGCCGCTCTCCAGTTAAAAGAAAATAATTGTGGTTGGCTGAAAAACGAAAACAAAAAATGTCTAGTTGATAAATGTACTAATCACTTTCAAGCATGAAAAGCATTTTCAAGGAACTGTCATGAAGCAAAAAATATGAATACATGACAGAGGAGATTGCACTCGTCTTTCAGTTGCTTCATAGAACCCATCTGACAGGAAAGACTGACTGACATGTGCATGTCCTCAGTGAACTATGTGTGTTTCTTTTTATGTTTCCTCCATAGATTAGAACAGGGAAATAAAATAAAAAACTCCAGAGGATAGATCATACATTTTATCCAATATCTATCAATGATCATTTAAGATGCGGTAATATGGTTTTTTAAAGATTAGAATATTAGAATAGAAATAATAGAATAGAAAACCCTTTAAATGTTTCACAAACAGAAATGATGGTGTAATAGCAACATAGCAACAGGCATTCAGATTATAGGAATTCAGGTACATTCCTATATATTTCCTCTACATTAGCTCTGAGTCATGACATTCAGTTAACTTTATTTATACAGGTTCAGTTTACAACACATGTCTTCTTAAGATGTTATAGAATCACATTCTATAATCTGCATATATTGCAGCTGACTACAGTTCTCAGACAAACAAGTAAAGTTCAGTTTATTATCCAAATAGGATCCAAATACGTTTAAAAGGTTTTTTTATGCAGGAAACCCAACAGATTGTATTGAGCCATTGCCCCCCTTCTCCTTGATGAAAATGCAGTAACATTGGACAGTTGCTTATAAAGTGTTGTTGACCTTGCAGCTTACCAAGAATGCTTTTTGTTGAAGGGAAAAACACATCAATACTGATCCAGGAGATTTATACATAGATAAATGCATATAAAAAAACACACACACACATATATATATATATATATATGTGTGTGTGTTTTTTATTTAATTGATATTTTCACTAGGGAGCTTTGATAATAAAATCTGTTCCAGTCCTCTTCATGAACTGCTTTCATGTTATTACTTGTTGCCAACCTTTTATGCAGTGTTCTTATATGGGGCTCAACCGTTTTACACTACAGCAATGCAACACAAGTTAATACCTTTTAGTTTGAATGTTATCTATAACAAAGTAAATACTCAGGTAAAAAAGGGGAAAAAACAGAACAGGAAAAATGCAAACTGATGCTAATCAGTTGCCCTGTGTACTTTCAGGCAAAAGTAAGTTGGAAAATGACTGTAACTTTAATTGACTGTAACTGATGACAACAGCTACAAAGTCTGAATGAAATCATGTTGTTAAGCTCTATATGGCTGTAATGTAATTTGTGACACTTCCACATGGCTTATGCATTTAGTGCACATGTCTCATGCTATTTTTGTCACACCGGAATGAGAGTTAAAGCACATGAAACTGCAGTATGCTGTAACACGAGTTCCCAGTTTCTGCTGTGTGATGTTACAACCTTTTAAACTCTGCATATGTTACTTCCCTGTTTTACCATGTATCAGATAACAACCACTATGTAATGCACCTCCGTTTGCAATTCTAGCAATTTTTCTATTTCCGTTGATCATCAAAATACAAGGAAACAGCTACTTTTGTCTTATTTTCCCAGTGTTCATCCAGTGACATTTATTTATCTCTATATCTATGTATTGGTCTTTTCAGTGCCAAACATTTTCTAACAACATTTAAACACATACATTACCCATTTAATCACTTCATTAGTGAATTAAAGCAGTTTTTTAAAGAGTCCTTTAAAGCTTTTAGTTCAATATTTGTTTTCACGCAACAAAATATTATCAAATAGATTTTATTTACATAAATTCACAATTCATCTCAAGGGAATTTACAGTCATTTCAAGTGAATCATAAAGATTTGTTAAACATTTCCTATCTAAGAAAGTCATTGACTTGCAGAATTCATTCCCCTTGGATGAGCAAAGCAGCAATCCCTTATACTGAGCATACATGAAGCACGCATGGAAGCACCTATAGATGTCAAATAAAGTTTCCAGTTTATCACTATATAGCTTTATTTTATGCAGAAAATATGTTAGAAGATTATCTGTAAAGTAAAATAGAAAATGCAGTATTGGTTGATGAATAAATTAGGACACATCATTCATTCCCACTTAAAAATACAAAAATCAAACTTGGCTGCATGACATTGTGTTCATATGATTAAAGCATGAATAGAAAAAAATCAATTATAATACATTTACTGTGCTTAAACCTTAAAAAATTAGCCCACATGAGAGTAAAGCTGTTTGAGGCTTAAAGGACTATCAGATCATTCACCCATAGTTCGGATATAGACTATATGTTGAAATCTGTTAACATGATGAGTTCTGACAACCCAAACAGATTCACAGACAGAAAAATGCTAAAATGAGTTTTCAAAACTCATTAGATTTTATCCTTGAACCTTCAAACGGCTCTCGCTACCATCAATGTGAGAATGCTTGCTTGTACAAACAAAGGAAAACTTCACAAGTTTTACTTTTATTTGAGGTGTGCAATCACAAGACCTTTACTCTCTAAGATAAAAATGACACCCAGGTTAAAGGTTGTCCAAAGCCCATAGATGAAGACCAGGCTCAATGGATGGATTTTAATTATTTGGACATCAGGAAGAGGTCAATTTTGGATTAAACCAAACAGAATGAGTTTGGGGGGCTTTTTTTTTTATAGTGGGACTAGGGAAGGTTTTCATCATAATTGTTCATGACTTTTGCTCTATATCAAAGAAAAAGTCCTGCACTCCCCAAAAGGAATCAATGTGAATTGAGAAACAGAAATTCCTGGCCTCAACCAAGCCCAGCTTTTAATCTCGTTAAAATTCTTTTGTTTAGCTTTCCACAAATAACAAAATTAGTCTGAACATCAATAAATGAAGAGCTTTTGTAACAGAGAATTAAATGTGAAATGTGGCTTTCTTACTTTTTCCACAACTACAGAGGCAGAAGTTCATGTTTTTGGCTTATTTGTTTCCAACCAGAAAACTGTTTCCCACTACATGCCATTTGTATTCTGCACATCTGTGCAACTGCTACACTAGAGCTGATCCTGACGCATCGGCGTAGCAGCATTGGGGCTTTTTGTAAGATAGAAAAAGAAGCTCTGATCATTGGCCATTTTGTTTGGCAAGTATGCACAAATGCAAGTATGCACACAGAACAAAACCAGCTATAACTGTCAAAATAACAAGTTTTTGTGGCACTGAATAGAGTTCCACATAGAGTGCCACATTTATTTTGGCGGTGCAAAGGGATGTAGCTGAAAAACATTATTGCCCTTACTCAATTTATGAAGACCCCTGGAGTGCTAGTTATTCAGATGTTTTATGTGTTTTGACCATGCAACAAAATAAGTAGAGTATATGATTAGTTTATTGCTTGCTGATGATAGATCAAAGTAGACCTGGCAATATGGCTTAAAGATTAATGGAAACAAACCAAATGTTGGCAGCTGGCATTAGTGGCATAGTGATCTAGTTTGTTACCTATGAGACATCTAAGAACAAAAGGTGAGAACAGATGTCACCTGGATCTATGGAAAACAAAGGAGTGGATTAGTTTAAAAAGTGCAGATTTTTAGATTTTTAGAGAAATTATTAAGCGAATAAATAGGTTCCCTGCCCTACATCATCATACACAAATGGCTTGGCTTAGGTTTGAGGTGGGGGCATGACATCATTATATATATAAAAAAAAAAATTGTATAGGTTTGTAATTAAAACACTTTTCTGTCCCTTAGCAATGCATTCCCAGTACTCACACTATTTACACTAGGTGAGCATAAATATACTTCATGTTATTTGGGAGATAATCCCATGCAGTATATTTGATAACACCACACAAAGCTTTTAAATAAATAAAAAAAAACAAGAACAAAGGCCTAAAACATGAACAATATGGTGGCATCAGCCCAAAAATGTGTGTTGCGCAGCTGCTGCTGCGTTTACGGTAAACTAAGGAATGTGTCACACTGATGTCAACTTGTTATTTACTTTCCAAATCTGAATGACTGAGCAAGGCGAAAGGAGAATTAATCAACCGCGGGTTGACCAGGCAGGCGAAAAAGAGCCTGCGAGTGGGGGAGGGGAGATCACTGAAATAAGGCCCAAATAGACAACAAGCAAAACTGCATTCACCAGCAAATAAATATATGTTATAATTATAATAAGCTAATTAAGTGTTTTATAGAAAAAGGTTTAATTTGATTTTGGATTAAATGTGTTTATGGCTGAAATGTGTCTTATTTTTAAATAATAGGAGAATAATTATAAACACACTATGTTTTATTTGAGGATGGTTTAGAAATATTATTATAATTATTGTTTTTAATCATCTTAAAGGTGTTTAGAGTATTCAGGTTTAAGGTCAGGCAGTACTCCCCCCCCCCCCACCCCTTCCTCGGTGTCTACGTCTCTCCTGCTCGCCTCTTGCTGTCTCTGCGCTCCTGTTTCTCAGTGAACGGTGAAACTCCAGCGGATCAACCAGCCTGCAGCCACAGCCGCACAGAAACTCGGGCTTGTTCCAACTTTTTTTTTTTTTTTTTTTTTTTTTAATAAATTTATATATATATATATATACCGCCTGACGAAATAAGCGCCCCCGGTCCGCTCCCCTTTGTCGAACCGGGCTGACTCTGACTTGACTCCTTTAAACGCGCTGAAATATGAGGCCAGGGGAAATGGGAGGAAAGTGTTTTCTCGCTCACTGAAGTTATTGGAGGTTCTCCTTGTGGAAGAGAGGAAGAGAGAGGTGGCGGCGGACACCACGAGTTCACTCTCACAGTAAAAGGTGCGTAAAGGCGCGGGATGCGCTCCCGGAGCGCTCGGTTCTTTCTGCGCGTCCTTTATGAGGGACTCCTTCCAAATAGATCATTATGGGCTCCAACCGGCAGCAGCATGCCGGTGTTTTCGCAGCTTTTAGTCACCACAGGGACTCCACACGTGTTTATGTGAAATTCCTCTTCCCTTCTTATAATTATCTCTGCTTCTTTAAAACAACCTTTATTTGTGCCGCTGCCTTTTTTTAAATAGTTTTTCCAGCTCTTGTGTCACCACGATTATTTACTGTAAGTTGTTAAGGGTTAAAGGTTGCCAAATAATCTGTGACCAAATAACTATATTTTCTGATTAAAATAGGCTCCCTCATATGAAAATACACTCCCAGCTGTTTTATTAAAGCTCATATGTCAATGATACAGTGTTATATTTTGGCATTTAGAGTTATGGAGCGCATGTGTGGGGGAGGGGAAGACTCAACTGCCACCAGTTTCAAGGGACAGTTTGTGTTACTGTATGGCCACAATCTAGAGCTTCAGTTGACAATCTAGTGAAATGATAAACCCTGAATAACGTATTTATTTTTGCAGGAGGGACAGAATGCAACCAAATAAGATTCTTAACATGTATGACCTGGCCTTGGGCATCAAAAGGTTTAATTTGGCCTTAAAAACCCTACATGTTTGATTGCCTAAGGTTAGTGACCCCAAAAAACAACAAAAAAGTAACTTTATACACACTAGTTGTTGTCACTTTGCTAAGCATGGCCTTGCAGCTGGTGTTCTGGTTTACCAAGGTTTTAAAAAGTTATGGTTCCAAAATCTCAAATATATCAAACTGTTTCCACATCTTATATTGAGACACCAGTGCACAGTAATATTTTGTTTCCCCTCTTTAGATGTTGCTATACCACACTAGTAAGGTAACTTAATTCACTGTCTCAAAGTTACCTCAAACTGCTTCTGGTCTTAATGTGGCCTCTAATGCTGGTTGGTGCTTGTTTTACAGGTTCCCAAAACCACTTAAGCCTCATTTACACTACCCTCTGAAAACCGATCCGTGCCGAGTTCGGACTGAGCTTGGATCGGTTAACCGTGCGGATCTCGGTTCCTTATGACCGTTTACACGTCACCCTAGCACAGTTCCTCGCCTCCTAGTGACAACCTACGGTACTACTGCTCTCTAGTAGGAAAACATTGTGATTATGTTTTATCCATCCAACATCGCCAGGATACCGTCCTCCGCCCAAATTGCTAAAAGAGCCTAGTTAAGTGAAGATTTCAATTGTTTTTTTATAGTTCTTCTTCTGTTTTGTGGCGGTTGGCAAGCAACTTACAATACTATTCATTACCGCCAACTACTGGAAGCTGACTGTAAGGAGATGGCGTAGTCTGCTCATGCGCTAGTACTAGTTTAGCGTGGTTCGGTTAGGTCTGGCATGGTCTGGTTCAGTTTTGCATGCCATTTACGCTCAACAGTTATCTCTGTTACCATGCTCAGACTGCTCTCGGCACGGTTTCAAAAGGGTATTGTAAATACAGCTATAGTCAGAGTTATGTCAAGATTTTTTCAAAGTTTTTGTTAATCTAATACTAAATTCCCAAACTTATATTGCATGTGCTGTATGAATACCATATGCATTATTTATAATTTTCAAAACACAATGACAACTACTTTGCTTTTCACTCGCTTACAAGAAAAAAAGCTTAATGAGTGCCACTATTATCATTTTACAGTTATTATGGTATAAGCAGCATGATTATTAACCTCAGACTGCAGACATGGCTACCGAAGCTAATAGCCTGACTGATCAGCTAACAACTAAACATTATTAATTTCTTGTAGAAGCAGAAGAAATTACTGCTGTTTTGTTTCTTCAGGAAAAACACAAAACAAACAGTTTGATCATGTGGGAAAACTATATTATTTATACTAGAGGTTGATGCTCTTTAAAGGATCCCATTAGTATCACTTCATTTGGTGAGCATGGGTTGGAACAATACTTCTATTATTTTTACTTTGTTTTTCCCTCCTAATTCCTGTTTTATAATGGTTGTGGATCATGATGGGATAATGACTCTCATTGTCCCTATGTTATTTAGTAAACAAGCAGCTCATCCAGCTGAAAAACCTCAAGTATTTTTAGGGAAGGTTTTGCCACTTAACATAAAAATGTCCATATTTAACTAACTTCAGCTCACAGTTTTTTTTTTATTGGCCTTTTTGAGTTTCACACTGGATTATCGTTTGATTTATGCATTTCAGTGATTATATATCACCACAATCTTTTATGAATGCTGCAAAACAGAATGAATTGATTTAGAATATAATCTGGGGAGTAATGGCAACTTTACTGCTTAATCCAAGGTCTAAGAGGTTGAATGCGGATCCATACCAGCTTAAGCTCCGATTTTTGTAATAAAAAGAAAGTTAAATATAAACCATAGCTCTATGTTCCATACTTGATGTAGTTGGAATATGCAGCTGAAATGGACTGAATTTGTCTGAGAATACCCTAGAATGGTACAGTGTACACCCAAATGAAGGTCTCCATTTTCGTTTTAATTGCTTCTTAATTGCATGCACCGCCTGCTTGAATGGAAGCAGATGAATTTGTGGTTGAGGTGACTGAGTTGTCTGTCTAGGTGTCATGTTTCAATTGCTTTTAAGACAGAGCAGGAGCTGATGAAGGCTTTTGCTACTCCTGAGACATTTGATCCAGGTGTCATGCTGATAGTACCTTTAGCTGTTAAAGTCAAATGGCCTTAAATGGGTCTGTTAGTAGATCTTTTTATCCAGTGTTAAAGAAGTTGTATGATCAGTGGTATTATTGGTAGTTTTATGGTTTCTTTCAGTTTATTGCAAAAGTAGGTAGTCGTCCTATTGTCTATTTTCCATGATGGTTTTGCCATAAGGGAACTTTCTTTGGTTAGACTTAGATAAAGAAGCTAAAACTTATTTTGCCTGGTTCTCATCTATTTTGAAAAGCAAGATTCAAATCTATTGAGTGTGAGGCAACAGAGCTAAGCCTCAGGGGTGGGTTGAGTTTAAAGAAGAAAGGCATCCTCTGCGAAAAAAGTAGGGCAAGGAAGTCCCCGAGAAGAGCTTTGTCAGTCTTGTGGTGCAACACTTCTCTGTTTCGAGCTATCCAAATATTTCTGTAGCAGTATTTATTTATGATAGGCTGTGGGGGAAGGTAAGCCATTCTCTACCCCCAGAGAGACATGCAGTGTTCACGGGCTACCAGCCAACTGGTTCACCAGTGGTTCCTCCGAGATAAAAGCCGGAGCAGTGCTGGCTTATTAAAGGCGGAATTTATGGATTTGGTTGGATTTTAGATTTATTTTGGCACAGTTAAGTAATGCGTTAAGTTTTGTGGTTTCTCTGTAGTTACTAGAATTAAAATGGCTCCACATGCCTTTTAAAGTGCATTAATATTCAGCTGTTAGTTTAGCATGTTTGGCCTTACAATTTTTCCTCATATGTTTGATATATTTTACACTAACACAGATCAAGACGGTACTCTTGTAAGCCGTCGTGCCAAGGTTTTAAAAATAGATTTTCCAAAAGAAAAATGGGTGCAGGATGACTGATAGTGCTCGTGGTAACTGTTCAGGAAGTTGTGTAAGGACTTACTGCTAGATTGAGAAACCTCTTGAGTTATAGTTTGTTGTATTTATCATTGATTTAATCTTTACACACCCTAGTATGAATTTAGTGTACCGTCTATTTCTATTTAAACAAATTGCAAACTGCCAGAGAGTGTTATAGCAATCAGCCGGTGGGACCTTTACACTGGATGATGACCTTTAATAAGAAATACCTCATATTTGTGATACTTGGCTGTGAAATATATTTTGTCGTAAATACAAGACCATCAGTTTTTAACCACTATTTGACTTTTAAAATTGACTAATACAATAAGAATAATGGAATCTATGGCATTTCTTTAGTTAGTTTCAAATTCTGACACAGTGGCTAAATCAATAATAGGTAGGTTAGGTGGGAATAAGTTGATAAGTTACTTTCAACATTTCATTTCAGACAGCTTCTCCCTATTAACAAACTATGAGCCTTTTTTAAATCAGATAACTGGCAGTGCTGCAGCAGGTGGAACACCCCTACAGCAGCATCAAACATTTTTTCATTAAACAGGCTTTAAACCATAAGAGCCCTGTGATCTAAACTGTGGTTTGATACCTGCTAGTTTCCCCTTCCTGCTTTTTGTGCACCTGAAAACATTTCCTGACAACCGAAATCTAAAAGTAAGGGGAAAGTGTAGTGGACTTCTTTTGGGCCTGCTGGCCAGAAGTGCACAGTGGAAGTCTGTGCTTCATAGTATAGGATATGACAACAGCTCTTTCTCAAATATCTAGTTAAAGTAATTAAAAATTTTCCACTCCCATTTTTGTTTTTTTGTTTTACACCTTTATATATCTGGACCATGCCTAAATTGCACTGTAGAAATCCATTTCCCCATCATTGACTTTGCCTTAGAGGATTATAAATTCCAGGTTTTATGGCCTTCACTCGCATTCATGGTTTTTAAAGGACTTAGATAGTGAAAGATTACATGATCTAATTGCAGTTTGGGACTCGTGTAGTATTTCTGAACAGAATTAAAAGGAGAAGATACAGCTAGAACTGAATTTGTTTGGATAGAATAAAATGGAATAGATTGATGTTAATGGCAAAACATATATGTGTTGACGCTTCTTATCTTCCTAAGTAATATCAGATTGCCATAGAGTGAACAAACTTAAAGATGAAAAATGCAGGGGATTTCCTTAATGGCACCATTTCAAAGCAGCGCAGCTAAAAGCGAATGCTTTACTGTTCGTCTGGACATGTTTCTGTTGGTGCATAAGAGACTGACGATAAACTGAGAGGAAATGATAAGAGGTTTGGTTATTTAAAGTATTTAATTTTTCTTCAACAATCAGCAGAATAAAAGTGTTGCTTCTAATGGAAGACTGGGTTTTTTTAAAAGAAGAGAGATAGCTTTTCTTCCTA